TCTCTCAAAAAGTTGTCTGAAATTCCATATATATGGCCCACTTTTTAATTGTGAGAGGGCCTACCCATTAAATATTCATATATGCGGACACAAAAGTAAATAAATAAATGTATGCCTGTAACAGAGATATGAATTTATCTAATTATCTATTCTGTAGATACATGTCTAGATAGATAGATAGATTTGTATTTATATGTATGCCAGAATAGTGAATATTCATTAGGTTGTCTCTCTCACAATTTCAAGAAACCCTTTCTATAATCCTGCCAAGGTTACCTCACGATTTATACATGTGTATATATATATATATATATATATATATATATATATATATTATATATATATATATATATATTATTTATATACATATATCCATATATATATATACACACACACAACATATATATACATATACACATATATACATACACACATGCACACCCACATCCACATCCACATTCACCCACATACGCACACACACACACACACACACACACACACACACACACAGACAGACACACACAACCACACACACACACACACACATATAATATATATATATATATATATATATATATATATATATATATATATAATATTTATATAAATATATTTATTTATTTATTTATTTATGTATACTGCTTATATATAATTATATAAGTAAGGTGCTGAAATTCCTATGCTTTCCTGTTTCCATGAGATACTCCAGGAGCCGACCAAATCCAGTGAAAAAGGAGCCGAAATATTACCTGTCTTCTGTGTTCCTTTGGTAGACGCGCATCACTCACATGCATATGTATACACGCGCGTCACTACGTTTTTTCTAGTTTATTATATGTAATTATATATATAAATATATATACATATATACATATATACACACATACACATTTATAAGAACCCTTTCTATAATCCTGCCAAGGTTATCTCAAGAATTATATATACGTATTTGTATATAATATATAATAGTATATATATATATATATATATATATATATATATTATATATATATATATATATATATATATATATATATATATATATTATATATAGTAGTTGCCGAGGAACTTCCAGCTGGGAAGCGGAGACATGCAATGAACTTCACGACCAGTGTTAATAGAAAAACAAGCATTTCCTTTCTTCTTTAATCCAACAAAACTGGTATCTTCATTAAACAAAAACAATTCTTCAACAGTCAAAATCATACGTTTCGAGTGTTCAACATCTTCAGTGATGACAAGAAAGAACTGTAAAGGATTTGGGGAACATTATCCTTCAGTTTACAAAAAGATTTACAAAACAGTTAAGATAAATTATATCACTAATAGTATTTACAAAAAACATGAAAGGGAGATACGAATCACTAGTATCAAGACTTTACACAATATATCGAGATAATAAAATGTAAGGGTTTATAAAAAAGTTATTATATAGATTAATACAAGTTAAAAATTCTTATTTGAGCTTGAATTAATCCATAATATTAAACATATCAATAGAACTATACTCTAAATGAATTGGAAAAGTGATTTAGTATTGAAAAAATTCCTAGACTATAATAGGAAAGCCATCATGTAAATTATGACAAAAACACGTGTCAAGAAATCGAAAACATCATTAATATAACACATTAATGAATTGCAATAAATTAGTACGACTGAAACACATTCTAGGGAATCTTTGGTATTTAAGAAAATTACTAGGCTATAAAGTTAAATCATCGAATAAATTATGACGTAGACATACGTCAAGAAATTATATCATAATATCATTCAAATCAAAATAACACACTATTGAAATGGAGTAGATTGTTACAGTTGAAACATATCATAAGGAACTTTTGCAATGAAATGACATTTAATGAAGAGAAATATGTATGTATACATATAAGTATATATATTTAAATATGTGTATGTGTACACACACACACACACACACACACACACACACACACACACACACACACACACATATATATATATATTATATATATATATATATATATATATATATATATATATATAGATATATATATATATTATATGCCTGCGTATACATACATATTACATATATACATATGTATTAGTTTACACACACACACGCACACTATATGTATATATATATATATATATATATATATATATATATATATATATATATATATATATATATATAATATATATATTTATATGTATGCCACGCACTTGTGATTGCATGAGCGCATGTACGCCGGCGCATAGATGAGACGGAGAAGACAAAGGCATCTTCGCATCAAAGGCACACGCGTTGCAGGACATTTTCCCTCATTATCTGTTTTTTCTCTGTATGAGACTTTTCCTTTGGATAGCTTTACACACCAGCGCGTGTACGAATGCACTCACAAACACACACACACACACACGCGCGCTCATGAACCACATACACGTAGGAATAGTTTATGTATGTTTATGCATATATATACATACATATATACATGAATATATACATAAATGCATATAT